GATACAGACGTAATAATCAAATGACAGAATCCTAAAAGTGCGCGAGATACAAACGTAATAATCAGTTAACAGAGAATCCTAAAAGTGCGCGAGATAATAAACGTAATAATCAAATGAAAGACAATCCTAAAAGTGCACGAGATACAAACGTAATAATCAACTGAAAAATAATCCTAAAAGTGCACGAGATACAAACGTAATAATCAAATGAAAGAGAATCCTAAAAGTGCACGAGATACAAACGTAATACTCAACTGAAAGAGAATCCTAAAAGGGCGCAAGATACTAACGTTATAATCAAATGACAGAGAATCCTAAACGTGCACGGGATTCAAACGTAATAATCAAATGAAAAAGAATCCTAAAAGTGCACGTTCATATTAGCATTTTTACATATTCTCCACACTGTACCCTGTACATTTTCCATTATACTGACAAGGACTTTTTATTGGACAATCAGGAGCTTGTTAAATTGGTGATCATTTGCTGAATCCCATGACCTTTACATTTGATACAAGGGTGATACTGTAAGGGGAAACTTGAAGCCAGACACTCTTAAAGGTGAAAGGATTAAAACATACTTAGAGCTGAAAAACTGCAGGCACATTTAGCTTTATATAGTATCAAAAAAGTTCAGAAATGAAAAAAAATGAAGGAGTAAATAGGCAATCAAGGCAAGAACAATTATATAAATAAAAATTTGTCGCTATTGCGAAGAATTCTTACAGATTCTATCACAGAAAATCACGTGGTTGTACATGAACTATCATGGCGGATGCTAGACAGTATTTGTCTTCAACTGAAAAAAGTGTAACATGTTATTCCTTATTTTTTTGGTCACTTAACTCTACAATGAGATTTACACGATGAACGAAAGTAACCATCGACACTTCAATTCTATCAAAAATGCTCTGCTTTAAGAATTATTTACCTTGTGAAAGCTCGAGACGAAATGGCATCCATCAGTTCTCGTCGTCAAACGTCAATCACTCGTTTCATCAATCTTGAAGATACACACGCCGGCAAAGTCAAAACGGACGATGTCCTCCTGAGGTTATGAGGTTGAGGCGTATTTCCTGCCTCCAGAATAGCCGTAAAGGATGCTGAAATCTCTTGAAGTTTGCGAGCTCTTTCCACGTGCAAGGCTGACTTGCAAACATGAATACTAATTTTAGGAGTTCTTTGTAATTCAAATGAGTTTTCCGACTATCAAAGTCCGACCGAAAATCATCAAAATAATCGTTCATTTGTTAAACGAAATAAGATGAATAGCTCTGGCTTATTTTACACTTGGTCGAGATTAGCGGAGAGGAGTAACTATAATTTTATTTGCGTAAAAAAATTACTTGCACTTACACGAATTTGAAGCTCATCCCGATCTGATTTGGTTTCCTTTAGCATTTCGCATCAACGGGGTTCTACTGTACTACGATTCGCACTCGCCTGGGACCTAACTCATTAAGAACAAAGGCAGAGCTTTTTTTCCCTTTTGGTGACAGCATAAAGACAACTGTTCACTTTAAAATCGACACCAACAACCTTTCGGAAAGAGGTTGATCTACCCTTAGCTTTCTTTTCTCCTGTCGTTTCCAGGGCTCTCTCCAGGTTAGGAGGCGTAAGAGACAAAAATTTGAGGGCAATATTAAGACACTCCTCGACAATGTTTCTGTATTTGAGCAGAATGGTTTTAAAAACAAAACATGAACAGCAGGAGAGAAAATAAATTATAAACAACTAAATACAACTATCGTAAAGTTGAACAAGCATTTTAAGTCAAAAGGTGCCAAAGAAAAAATTTACATATTCTAGACAATGTGTCTACATATCTTGCTGTTCTAGCAAAGCTTAAAAAAAAACAAATCAATGAGGGCAATCGAAGCAATGGCCAAGCATAGGTGGCACTGAATGAATTCAAAAGAATTTATTACATATAAACCTTAAAAATCACGCAATAAAAATACTGTACTAGTCGAATGATCAGTTTGCTCACGCCACTAGACACATGGAAACGAGTTCACTCGGTTGTAAAAAATCTAGTTACGAAAAAAGAGGCTACAGTCCAAACTCCGAAGAAAATATGTATTAAACTTGTTAAATGAACCAAAACATTTGGCTAAAATAAAAACTCCGAAACTTCATAAAAATTCTAACAAAGAAGTAACAAATTTACTATACGAAAACAAAACTGAAAGTACGCCTTAAGGTCCTTAATTGTCTCTTTCTCACGAAATCAAGGACTTTTTCTCGTGGAGTTGGTATTTAGACCCGCGATGAAATGTGAAAATTAGGCCAGTTGTCAAATCCGTAAGTAGGACGTCGCCGTTGTTGGAAACAACAACAGAGCAGGGGCATTCTAGGTATTTCCCAGCTGGAAGCGAGGTAACAAACTCTCCATTGAGGGTAAAGACTTGAACAGATTTGGCATCGGAATCACACACAATTAGGTTGCTAAATTTGTCGATAGCTAGGCCGGCTGGCGCTCCGAATTTACCGATATCGTGTAAATAAACCCCATCTTCGTCGAAAACCTTCACACTTTGACCAATGCGGTATGACACGAAATATCTTTTCTGATCGTGAACAGCAAACCACGGAGGTGTGTCAGCGTCCTTTGCTTTGAAGGATTTCAACAATTTTGTCCCGTCAGGAGAGAGGAGCTTAACTGATCTGTCACCCGAGTCACACACTATTATTTGACCATCATTCTTGACGGAGACACTGCAAGGGTTAGTCAAAAATTCCGCACCAATGCCCTTAACGAAGTGGCCATGTGGGGTAAAAACTGAAATTTTACTCAAGTGGCTAAAAACTGGAAATTTACTTTGCGGCAAAGTATCTTCATGAATGACAATAACATTGTCATCAAGGAAGTTTGTGAATGCCAGACATCTTGGTCTTCGGTCTGGTCCAAAATCCACTATAGTTCTTACTAGGTAATTTAACGTCGAATCATACAGAAGCACCTTCTTATTGTCATAGTCAGCCACCGCAATGTTCCCAGTTTTTCTACACTGAACGATGCTGCAGGCAACATGGGATGGGGCCACTTTCCAGGAACTATCAGCCACTAGCATTTCATTAATGTAGATCGCAACCTTATTATGGCCAGGTTGCTTCAGCGTGCAACAAACTTCGTAGTTTCCGTTTCTGAGATCTTTAATTCTTGCTTTTTCGCGGCATCCTGGTGATTTGACGACCTCTACCGTAGCTATCACTCTGTCATCTTTGTTATAAATCTGATCTCCAAGTAAATCTCTTGTAGTTATTTGAAAGCAGATTTCGCTGCCTGTTTTGAAAATTAACCTTGAGTCGTTACCATAGTTTACCGTCGACAGGGAGGCGTCAGTACGACTGGCATAAATTTGACCGGAGCCATTTAACCTAATAGTATTCAAAGTTTCTGTATTTGGAACAAATTTAAAACAATTGGGCTGGTAAATCTTTATTTTTGATACATTCAAAAGTTCTTTAGCGCGACCGATGATTGACCGCTCCGCATGCAAAATTTCAGGCGCAAAGTTCCTCTGCACGATGCCCTCTCCTTGTTCAATACAGTTTTTCAGTTGGGAAATGGCTGACTGGAAGACTTCCATTTGTCCCTTATGGTTCCTTTGTTGTGTCTCAACAAGTTGTCTTAATTTTGTCTTCATGGCCTCTTTATGTTCCGTCAAAATTCCCACAAGTTCATCAACGACTTCTGTCACTTTAGCTTGAGCGTCGTACATTTCAGATATGCTCTTATTTATAAGTTCAGTTTGTTTATTCATTTGTCTTTCGAGGACGGCGACTTGTGCCTTTGTTTTCCCTACGACCTCGGTAATTTGATTCCTATATTCACTCGCAGCTCCTTCGATATCCGCCACAGCGTGACCGTTGTGATTTACCAATCCACACCTCACGCAGACACAGACCTTACAATCTTGACAATAGTACTCGAGCACTTCGCTTTGGTGATATTTCTGGGTACACATCGCAGGTCGATACATCAATTCTTCGACATCTTGTACCCGCAATTTCTCGAACAAAATACTCCGGTGACCTCTCGTAGCCTTCAGGCGTTGATGTGCGTCAAGACAAGCTGCACAGAGAAAGCTTTGACAAACAAAACAATACGAAGTAACAACGCTGCTATCGTCGCAGCTATCGCATGTCTGCATGTCTGCATCGCTATCATTAATAGCAAGGACATCCACCAATCGATTGAGATGAAAGGATGTGGGAAAATCAGAAAAGGTATCACCTTTTGGAACGTTGAATTCAGTCAGGCAAACCGGACATTTCAGTTTCTCTTTTCGCCGTCTTCTGGCATGTCCAGCATGTTTGTCGAGGCAGTTTAAACAGAACGAATGCAAACATGGAAGTGTTTTGGGTTCTTTGACAGTTTCTGAACATAGCGGACACTCCGCTTCCTT